CGTATGAAAATTAATAATTAAAATTTCCTGTTATTATGCACACTGTATTTTGTTTGTAGACTATACCATTAGTCTACATAGTTTAGTTAGTTTTTATTATCATTATGAAGCAATGTATTAAAATTTAATATGATAATATAATGTAATTTTTTAATTTCTTTGAATAAACAAATTTATGCAGTAATCTTTCATAAAACCATTTTCATAATTTAAATAATTGTCAAATAAAAAATCTTAATCCAATCATTTTGATCTGTTTAGATATTTAGATATCAACACAGTAGATTTTACTTATTTGAGTTACCACTTAGTCGAGAGGCAATCAATAATTTGGATATTTATTATCGAACTCAAGGACAATAGTCCTAACATGGCCTAAATAAACAGGATCTACTATATTTATATTCAGAATGTTACCTCTAATGCGATGTATGCAAAAAAAAGTTTAGAATAAAAATTATAGTGTATAATACATATCAGTAACAAAATTTCTAAAACAGTTTGTTTTTATGACAAAGTCAAGGTCATCTTGAGTTTAACAAACAGGAACATATATATTTTTTGTACTGTATTGTAGAGGGTATCAAGATGAATTAAAAATACATATTACATGATATTTTTACTAACAGCAGCAACACATTCAAACTTCTGTAAAGAAACAGTGTACTCTGTCATGGACGGCGAAATGCATTTCGATTATGTAGTTAAATAAAGTGCATTTTTCTTATCATCTTGAAATCAAATACAACGTAAAGCTAAATATTTTACATTTCCACCAATGTAAATCAGGTAATATGTTCGTGAAAATATCATGTAATATGTGTTTTGAATTCATTTCAATGTCCTTTACAATATGGTAAAAAAAATGTGTTAATATTTGAAAACCAAACGTTACCTCAATTTTACCATGATAACAAATTGTTTCCAAAATTTTTTTTTACTGATATCTATTTGCATAGCCTGCAATTTTTATTCTAAACTTTTTTCTGTCAGTTGACTGTAAGTAGATGAAATATCATATATCGTATTACAGCTAACACTTTGCATGTAACAACAAAAGTAGTAGAGGTAATTTATCACAAACAAGTTATTTCTAAAAATAATATTAACCTATCTGGATTTTGTTCTGCCATGGGCCATTCATGAAGGATGTGACCTGTAGCTAAATCCCATGCACGAACAATAGCTGGTACTCCTCCGCTTATAGATACTAAATCTCCATCTGCAACTCCTCCCATTGCACGAATATGACCTGCATATCCCTTTTCTAATACACGTCTCCATAAGATTTGTCCTAAATAAATAAATTTTTTGATGTATTTTTACATGTATACTTATTTATGTACATTTTCCATTTAACCTTTAAATGATAACCAATGTTTTAATATCACTATTGATAACGTGACTTCAAATTAACTCTGTATCAATAATGCTCACTTTTTGTCAAATAGACTCCATATCAATATGTAGTCACCATGTGTAGTTATCATATAGAATCAATTTGAATTCAACTCATTATTATTGATACAGAGTCAATTTGTCATCAAATCACTACTATTGTAGGTTAACACTGTGTTATTTTGTACGATTTAACCTTTTGACTGCAGCATGCTCTAACATAACACTATGAATGTTTTAATATATGTTTAATTTATTATTAACTATAGTACAGTTATTCTAATATGATATTGTGTATATTATCATTTAAAGTCGAAAGGTTAAAATTCATCTATTCAAGAAATTATGCTTTTAAGAAATAAGTATTCATTAATTTTTTCACCCACAATATAGAACAATGTAAATATTAAAAGGCAAAAATATTCGCTTGCTAGTTAATTATATTAGTAATTAATGACTATAAATTCTCAGTTATAAGTGCAAAGGAAATTACGTTTGTTATATATAATCGATTTTATACTAATATTTATAAACTCTCTCTCTACCTGACTTAAGGTTTAACGCAGCAATAACATTTTCCTCAGTAGCAACAATAATTTTTTTTGCTGTTGAGACTGTGTCAAAACTAGCGAACTTGATTTTACCAACATAATTCTGTTTCCTGCAAATAAAGTAATACATTTTCTGTTTAGTGTAATTTGATTAGTAGATAAACTGTCAAACACGGAAGCATGCTACTGCATTATTTAAGCGTTTCAGCATTACAATCAACATTTGTTTTAGAATACGAAACATTTTACCAATCGAATTTTCCGATTTGATCTTCGTAGAGACACACAGATAAATTAAACAGACCGATTAACACAATAAAGCATTGTAATATTTGAACATCAGTTAAAAACCGGTTAATATTCCCTCTAGAACTCCATACGAGCGGAGCCATGACGATCATGTACTGAGACTGTGAACGTAGAACGTATCAATGGTATCACATCACCCATCTATGCTTTAGCGTACACAAATTTGGTGGGCTCTACTTCACCACTACCACCACCACCACCACCAATGATACAATCATTGAGTATGTAAAAAAAAGAATTGAAGTTGTATGTAAAATTTCTGCTTCAGTTTGATATCTATGACAATTCATGGAAACTTCCTTCCTTATAGGATTACAATACATATTTAAATCAGAAACTTACCTTTCTTATCTTTTTCTTTAACAATGATTACTGTTTTTATAATTTATCTACATTTTAAAGTTATTGATATTATTACAGTAAAGAATAACATGCTTTCTTTAAATATGTTATTTCGAATGTTTTGTCAGAATTAAAAACGATTCGATACTTTTTATTATAACTAGATCGATGAATCTTTGTTTTCATTTCATCCTTTTTACTTGTGGCATAGATGAGGTCAGAAATGAGTAAAGAGATTGGTAACGCTCGGTTTTTGCTGATTCGCCGCTGATTCACCATGGGCTGATGGGCTCGATGAAACGCGTCAAGCCATGGACTTAGGAATAGAGACACAGTGCATAAACTACGTTTGTGACAGTGGAGGAGGGGGGGATTTTTGTTACAAACTTAGTCCATTTTTGAACATTTTTCAAAATAATGCGTGCGTGTTGCTTCAAAGGCTGCAAAGAGAATCGAAATAGTAGTGGGAACATGACTTTCTATCAGTAAGTATTTCATTCCTCTTAATCTGGGTATTAGCTAAATATAATATTTCATATCTGATTAATTAAATCTGCTTCCTAAATGTTAAACCTAAGTTTTATTCATTAATGTTGGATATTAAAAGAGTTCAACACATTTGGAACATCGGTGTGTCACTCTTTCGAAATTGCAGATATATCATATTCGCATAGCTTATACATTTAATTCACTGTGATGTCATGTGGATGATAGTTGGCTTCGGGCAAACTATCTGAAGCCGTCTCTATACATAGTTATACAGGCTGACCCATTTAAATCGACTCAGTTAAATATCTTCGTAAATATCGATGATACTAATAGATATTTCGAACGAAATTTGAATGGTTTTAGAGGGCACGTAATCTGATATTGATAAGATTTTTCCAAGTGAACGTGTCGAGGACATATGAAGATCAACTTTATTTTTTTTAATAGAATCATATATTTTTTATTATATATCATTGGTTTAGAAGATATTTAAATTTTAGTAATGCATAGTGTTAGCACTCACACACCTATCTAATGTTGGTGTTAAAAAATACAACCTTCAGCCTGAATGCAAAGATTTACATGGTCTCTGAAAGATAATAAAATTAAAATATCATCTAAACCAATAATGTTTCACAATCAATGCCTTAGTATTTTTATGAAGAGAATGAGGAGTTGAAAATCGACTAGTGTAATAAAAAATATATGATTCCATTTAAAAAAAAAAAATTGATCTTCATATGTTTGGGTCAGGGCCGAATCACAATTTTCGTGCTCTTCTACATGAGGTTACTTTGCATGCAAGAGCGTTCGATGAGGGTTCTCTAAAATTCGTCCCTCAGCATCGTCGCTAACTACCACTTAGCTGCAACCGTAGCACCAATAGCGTGAACGTTCTGTTTGCATTTTCTATCAGTACTCGTTGAACGTGGTATAAATGCTACACGCATAAATCAACAGGCACATGCGGTTAGAGCTCTCAGCATCCTGACTGCTTTACGACTTTCTTTCAGGAAAGTAATAGTAGGAGAATTACCCATAAAAAATGGGACTGGATGATGCCAATGGATTTCCATCGTCCAATCCCATTTGTGAGGTCTCCTTTCCCACATTTGGAGCAGATTCCGAGCAGAATTCCTGACACCATTTGATACACTAGACATCAATGGAGACACTGGTTTTAAGTGCAAATATCAGGAACGGTCAGGAGCCTAAGAGTTCTGCCTGTGGCTAAAGTGCTTCGAGCCGAAAGAGACGAGCACGAGTGAGGGAGACTGCGTGCGTAATTTTGAGCCCTGCTCTAGATGATCTCTCGTTCTCTTCATGAAGCAATTGCGCGGTGCTGGATGTGCAGTAGAATGGTGGAGATAGAAAAGTTTTAGAGCAGGGCACAGAATTAACTTGCCTACAGACCTACCAGATGCCTGACTACTTTACGACTTTTTTCCAGGAAAGTAGGAGTGGGACACAAATAGGATTGAATGATGCAAGTGGATTTCAATAGCAATTTCCTATGGCAGTGTTGCCAATACACTTCGGTCCCCTCTTCATTATCTTGCAGCACATTTTGGACATGTCTCCGTCGCAGCTAATATAGTGATACGTAAGTTTCTGCAAGCCTCTAAGGTCGCAGCGTGCCCCGTTAGCGAGAGTATAAGTAGAAATTGCTTTGCTCTCATTGGTTGACGATTCAATGGTAAAACAGGATTTATTGCTCATTGGATATGCAGTAAAATGGTAGAAATGCTTGCAAAAGCTAAGGGAGGTAGAAAAATCGTGCCAAACTTGAGGTATTACTGTAATTCCAAGCCCTGTAATTCAGTATATACAGTAAATTCTCTCCAACTGTTTCTCAGCTTGTAAAATAATGGACAATTTGGGAAGAGGAGATACGATTATTTGAGCCTTGTGGCTCGTTTTTATGGTTATTAACAATCGTATCTCCTGTTCCCAAATCGTATCTCTCTATATAAGAGCGTCATTTGAAATGTACAATGTAATGTCATGTGTCCATTTGAGACTTTCTATCGATAGATTTGACAGTTGCTCTTGGCAGTACTCTCATGTTACATGTGAGTGTCGACTATTTGATAGCTTACTACAGTAATGGGTTCTACTCTTGAACACCTCTAGGCCACAGCTTGATCCGTTAGCGAGGATCAGTATAGAAATTTTGTTTGCTTTGATTGGCTGACGATTCACTGTTAAGACAGGATGCACTGCGATTGCATGCGCAATAAAATGGTGGGTAGGAGCGCTCCTGCTTAGGAAATAAAAAAAGCGCGCAGAAATAGATCTCATTACTGTATATATTTCGCACTCAGTAATAAAAGACGATCATTATACGCGCAATATTCTGCTTACGGATGCAAATGAGTTAAAAAGTACCTATCTGTTAGTATCAGTTTCTTTTCTTTCAAGCTAGGAAGCTACAGGCGAAATTAAATCGTGATTAAGAATACCGGAAAACTTAGTGTTCGAATTAAACAGTTTTTAAAATGTCTTCATTTTCATATCACTTGTATTTTCTTTCTGAAATTTTTTGCATTCCTCAAAATGGAAGGTGAAAATCATATTTTGTCAAATATCTCGAAAACTAATGGAGATAATTTGGTAAAAAAATGTTAAATATTCCGAAGTATTTTATTGTCGACGAAATTTTTCTCACTGTTTGAATGCAAGCACTAAAAAATAGTAGAAGTTATTACTATAATTACAAAGCAACACACCGCATTATTTTATTAGTATCTAACGGGTAAGTTCTTCAAAATTGTATATCAAGGTTATGTCAAGGTTATATTACAAAAGAATATTGGAGATCAATGAATCAAAATATCATAATAAAGCTCAAAAGGAGAAAAACACATAATAGATACGAAGACTAAAGCACGACCCTAAAAGTATGTGATAGGAGCCACTTTAGTTTGTAAGTAGTATTAAGTATTGGTAAATAAGGATGAAATTGTGATAATCATATCCATATAGTGATGGAATTAAAAGCTTCCATATAAAACTCATAAAACCAGATATAAGTAATAAAGAAATAGTGACACATAAAAATAATGTAAAATATTTGGGATATCATATTGATTACCTTCTAAGAGGAAACACAACACCACACAATACAATTAGAAAAAGCATTCAAGGCATATAGAACATAGAGTGACATATTCCATAACAAACAGAGCAAAAATAATCATATATTTATTACTAATAAAACCAATAATAACTTATGTGGCACCAATATGGTGGAATACAGAGACATCTGTAATTGAAAAATATAAAGTATCAGAGCGTAAAGGTCTATGAGCATGCCTGAATNTTAGAGCATAAAGGTCTACGAGCATGCCTGAATCTTTATCGAACTGTGAATACTGAATACAAATATTATCATAATAATAAAACATTATGCAATAGTGCTAACATTAACAGGATTGATAATTTTATCATCAAAACTTACAGAGATTACTATAGTAAACTACCTCTCATTGAAAACAAAGTAATTGAAAATCTTGACACATACAATGAAAATGATATCTTAAATAAAAAACGAACAGGATATTTATAATCCTACAAGTGTGTTTATACTTTGATAAAGGTGGCATAATACAAAATGAAAACAATATTCTTTTAATACTATCCTTTAATAGTACCCACTGGAAAAGAATTGAAACAGATAAGAGAATCACAATAAATCAAAATAATCACGCAATACATTTTGAAATCTTTGTATACTTAAAAATAATCTTCAAAAAAGACTATGAAGATTTCCATAGACTTTACATAAAAGAATATTGGAGGTCAACCAACCAAAACATCATAACAGAGCTGAAAAGGAGAAAAACACGTAATAGATAGGAGGACTAAACATGCATGATTCTAAGAGTATGTGATAAGAGTCACTTTAATTTGCAAGTAGTATTAAGTATTGGTAAATAAGGATGAAATTGTGATAATCATATTCATAAGTGATGCCACTTTTCACATTTTTCAAACATAATTTCTCTAGGTTAAGGACATACGGTAAACATTTATATAAAAAAAGAAATATCTACTGTTGAATTGATTTCATTATATTGTATTATTTTTCGCCGCAATAAAACTAAAGATCTGTAATAAATTTCGAGAATTAAACATTATTTTTAAAAAAAGAAGAAAATCAAGCGGTATTCCCAGATAAATTTCGGATAAATAGATAGAATAGTTTGTTCGAATAAATAGATGGAATATAGTTTCATCGAATAAATATATAGAATAATTTATGTAGATAATGAATGATAATTATCCGAATAAAATATTCGACAGTCAAAAATTCACTCGGACAATTATATTAGTGAAATATTTATTTGGAACAATTAGAATAATTTCGAACTCTGTCTCACAATTACTCTGGTTCACAATTACAAATCTCGGGCAACGAAGTGCGCAAGATGGGGATGGTGATAGGAGCCTTCTCGGCCGAGTTACACCGCGGCATCATACTCCACAAGAGGGAAAATTAACCATTAGCGACCTGCGCGTTTCTTGAGTACTACCTATCAGCAACTCCGGCACATTTTTGGAGCAAAGCGCCTGAGATAAAGGAAGTCTTGTTTTGAGCGGAAAAGATTACACGTCCTTGTGAAAGCATTTGATTTTATTTATTTTATGTTGCTAAATATAGAAATAGGCAAAAAATGTTTTAATCGTAATGCTACACACACCGAGCACGTTTTCACTACAAATAACAATTGCCAACGCTGACGAAAACGTAGCATCTTCAGCGTGATCATGTCAAAAACGTTGGGCTCCGCAGCTGAGCCTTCGGATTTACGGAACAAATGACGGATGTCTCCGTAGCGGAGCCAACAGAGCGCTAAGGGTTAACAAACTAAAAATGTATTTATTATAAATTTAAATGTTGAACAGTTAGATAAGAAAACGAGGAATGAAAATTTCAAAACTCTTGTGGCACCACAGAAATTTATCTGACCCAAACCAAGTTGTGCAAGCTTAATCTGAAAGATAAAAGGCCACTTTATTTCATTGTTAGATAATAATCGTACAATTTTGCTTCTTTCGTTCCACCGTAATGAGCATCTGTTTGAACTACCAAGTATATATAAATATAAATTGTGTCGTACAAATAAATATATCATTAAAAAGCCGAGATTTTTTAATATTATGTTATCATAATATGTTTATACAATGTTTTTATTACGACAATTAAAAGAATAATCAAAACACACTTTAGTTTTAAAACTGAAAAAACCAAATTTTAATCTTTTTTCTGACTTTATTCTTATTTTTTCAAAAATTGACCATGTACGAAGTTTGAATATACGATTTGTTGGGATTATGGAATGAAAATGAATATGATTCTAATACTTTGCTTAAAAGGGCTTTATTTTATTCTCTTAATGAGAGAAGGTATATGAGCGAAACAGATCGAGCGATCAAACTCTACTAAGTGTCCGGTAAGAAGAAACGCTTCTTTTATACTCCTTTTGGGTTCGTCGTGTCCACCAATCAGAGACGTTTTATTTGTCGCGTCTTACATTGTATACGTGACGGTCAGGGCACGATGTACATCAAAAGGTACCGGCGATGATGTATCGCGGCATCTAATATATACAGATTCCGTCACCGTCGCTGCCCGCTGACGGAGCCGGCGAAATGTAAACCGATATCTTAACTGAAGATATCTTACTAAGTAAACTATAGATTAATTTTTGTTCGAGGCTAAAATTTCAACACGCCCCCTCAAAAATTAAACAAGAAAGAAATACTTGATTTATATGTAACAAAAAAAATATGTATGTCTAATATTCTTATATTTATTAACTAGATATGATATACCTTCTCTCTTCTGGGGAAATACAATATGGTCCAACATTTGTTGCTGAGGGTCAAGGGAAACCCAGAAAAACCTGACCAG